AAAAAACCTCAAGGAACCCAAAAAACCTCAAAGAACCTCAAAAGAACCTCGAGGAACCCCAGAAGAACCTTGAGGAACCCCAGAGGAACATTGAGGAACTTCAGAAAAACCTCGAGGAACCTCCAAAAATCACCCAAAAAAACCTCAAGGAACCCAAAAAACCTCAAAGAACCCCAAAAGAACCTCGAGGAACCTCAGAAGAACCTTGAGGAACCTCAGAGGAACCTCGAGGAACCTCAGAGGAACCTTGAGGAACCTCCAAAAAACATCAAAGAACCCCCAAAAAAAGGTCAAAGAACCCAAAAAACCTCAAAGAACCCCAAAAAAACTTTGAGGAACCCCAGAGGAACCTCAAGGAACTTCAGGAGAACCTCGAGGAATCTCAGAAAAACCTCGAGGAACCTCCAAAAATCACCCAAAAAACCTCAAGGAACCCAAAAAACCTCAAAGAACCCCAAGAAAACCTCGAGGAACCCCAGAAGAACCTTGAGGAACCCCAGAAGAACCTCAAGAAACCTCAGAAACCCCTTGAAGAACCCCCCAAAACCCTCCCAGAACCCCAAAAGAGCCCCCCAGGAGCCCATAACTCTCATGGGATGGGGGCGTTTTTGGGTCATTTTGGGCGGTTTTGGGGTTTTTTTGGTGGTCACCGTTGACGTGGGCCTCCAGGGCGCCCTGCATGCGCTTCTGGGCGATGTTGGGCCGGATGGGGGCACCAAAGAGCCCCAAAAAACCCTTGAAGAACCCAAAAAAACCTCAAAGAACCTCAAAAGAACCTTGAGGAACCTCAAAAACCCCTTGAGGAACCCCAGAAGAACCTTGAGGAACCTCCAAAAATCACCCAAAAAGTGTCCAAGAGGCCCAAAAAAAACCTCAAGGAACCCAAAAAACCTCAAAGAACCCCAAAAAAACCCTTGAGGAACCCCAGAAGAACCTTGAGGAACCCCAGAGGAACCTCAAGGAACCTCAGAAAACCCTTGAAGAACCCCCCAAAACCCCCCCAGAACCCCCCAGCAGCCCCCCAGGAGCCCATAACTCTCATGGGCCGTGCCCAGATCGGGCGTTTTTGGGTCATTTTGGGCGGGTTTGGGGTTTTTTTTGGTGGTCACCGTTGACGTGGGGCCTCCAGGGCGCCCTGCATGCGCTTCTGGGCGATGTTGGGCCGGATGTAGAGGTCCTTGAGCTTGGGGTTGCTGCGGTTGAGGTTGATGACCAGGGAGTCCTGCTTGACGATGCCCTGCGGACGCCGAGAGGGACCGCCAGTGACCACGGGGGTGACCAATGAGTGACCAATGGGTGACCAATGGGTGACCATGGGGTGATCACTGGGTGACCACTGACCACTCAACAGCCACTCAATGATCAGTGACCACCCATTGACCATTCAATGTCCACCCAATGATCACTGACCACTCAATGTCCACTCATTGACCATCCATTGACCACTCATTGTCCACCTAATGTCCACTCAATAACCATTGACCACTCATTGACCATCATTGACCACTCAATGTCCACTTAATGTCCACCCAATGACCACTCAATGACCATCCAATGACCACTCAATGTCCATCCAATGACCACGCAACGCTCGCTCATTGACCGACCACACTGCTCTCAGTGTCCACTCACTGACCACTGACCACTCAATGTCCACTGACCACTGACCATCCATTGGCCACTCATTGACCACCCATTGACCACTCAATGTCCACTCATTGACCACTCAAGGTCCACCCAACACCAACCCAATGTCCACTCAACGCTTCCTCATTGACCGGCCACGCTGCTCTCAATGTCCACTCACTGACCACTGACCACTGACACCTGACCATTGACCATCCACTGACCACTCATTGACCATTCAATGACCACTCACTGACCACCCATTGACCACTCAACATCCACCCAACACCAACCCAATGTCCACTCAATGATCGTTCATTGACCGACCACGCTGCTCTCAATGTCCACTCACTGACCACTGACCATTGACAACTCACTGACCACTGACCACCGACCACTCACCACTGACTGACCACCCAATGACCACTCAACATCCACCCAACACCAACCCAATGTCCACTCAACGCTCTCTCATTGACCACGCAACGTTCGCTCATTGACCGGCCATGCTGCTCTCAGTGTCCACTCACTGACCACTGACCACTCAATGTCCACTGACCACTGACCATCCATTGACCACTCATTGACCACTCACTGACCACTCACTGACCATTCATTGACCACTCAACGCCCACCCAACACCAACCCAATGACCACTCAACGCTTCCTCATTGACTGACCACGCTGCTCTCAATGTCCACTCACTGACCACTGACCACTGACACCTGACCATTGACCATCCACTGACCACTCATTGACCATTCAATGACCACTCACTGACCACCCATTGACCACTCAACATCCACCCAACACCAACCCAATGTCCACTCAACGCTCGCTCATTGACCACTCAATGCTCGTTCATTGACCGACCCCGCTGCTCTCAATGTCCACTCACTGACCACTGACCCCTGACCCCCGAGTGACCCCGAGTGACCCCGAGTGACCGCTGCCCACCTCCTTCTCCTTCTCCTCGGCCTCGCGGGTCTTGTAGCGCTTCTGCACCTCCTTGATGATGCGGAAGGCGACCCCTGACCATTGACTGACCCCCGAGTGACCACTGACCCCCGAGTGACCCCCGAGTGACCCCTGAGTGACCCCAAGTGACCGCTGCCCACCTCCTTCTCCTTCTCCTCGGCCTCGCGGGTCTTGTAGCGCTTCTGCACCTCCTTGATGATGCGGAAGGCGTTCTGCAGGTTGGACGCCGGCACCGTCTGCTCGCCCGGCGGCTTCAGGTTGGACGCGCGGTACGTTCTGGGGACAGAGTGACCGCAGAGTGACCACAGAGTGACCACGGGGTGACCACAGAGTGACCGCAGAGGGGTGGTCAGTCGGTCACTCACATCTCCTTGACGAAGGTGGCCTCGGGGTTGGGGAAGATGTTGCCCTCGTTGCGGCCCAGGGCGCTGCCCGGGCAGAAGAAGTTGATGCGCAGGTAGGTGTAGTCGCCCTCCACCGACATGCTGATGTTCTGGGGGCGCAGGTTTTGGGGTGAAAAACGGCGGTTTTGGGGGTGGGAAATGGGGGGTTGGGGTTGTTTGCATCTCCCTGCACACACAGCCCTTCCCGCCCCCATTTTCCCTTTTTTTCCCCATTTTTTCCCCATTTTTTCCCCATTTTCCCCCGCCCCGGTTTTGGGATGAATTCCGGGGGTTTTGGGTTTTTTTAAGCAATTCAGTGCCAATTTTGCACTTCCCTGCACACACATCCCTTCCCACCCCCATTTCCCATTTTTTCCCCATTTTCCCCCCATTTTTTTCTGTTTTTTTTTCCTTTTTTTTCCCATTTTCCCCCCATTTTTCCCCCGTTATTTTCCCCCTTTCCCCCCATTTTTCCCCCATTATTTTTTCCCCATTTTCACCCCATTTTTCCCCCATATTTTCCCCCCATTTTTCTCCCAATTTTCCCCCCATCTTTTTCCATTTTTCCCCCCCATTTTTCTCCCATTATTTTCCCCATTTTCCCCCCATTTTTTCCTGATTTTTCCTCCATTTTTCCCCCATTTTTCCCCATTTTCCCCCGTTATTTTCCCCCTTTCCCCCCCATTTTTTCCCCAATTCCCCCCCATTTTTCTCCCATTATTTTCCCCCATTTTCCCCCCACTTTTTCCCCATTTTCCCCCCTTATTTTCCCCATTTTTCCCCCCATTATTTTTCCCCATTTTCCCCCCAATTTTTCCCCATTCTTTTCCGTTTTCTTCACTTCTTTTTTCCCCATTTTTTCCTCATTCCCCCCCAATTTTTTCCCCATACTTTTCCGCTTTTTTCACTTTTCCTCCCCCCATTTTCCCCCATTATTTCCCCCATTTTTCCCCTTTTTTTAATGTTTTTTTTCCCTTTTTTTCCCCATTTTTTCCCCCAATTTCCCCCCCTATTTTTTTCCCCATTTTCCCCCCAATTTTTTCCCCAGTTTTTTCCGTTTTTTCCCCCATTTTTCCCCCATTTTTTCCCCTTTTTTTAATGTTTTTTTTTTCCCTTTTTTTCCCCCAATTTTCTCCCATTTTTTCCCGCAATTTTCCCCATTTTTTCCCCCATTTTTTTCCCCATTTCCACCCCAATTTTTTCCCCATTCTTTTCCAGTTTTTCCCCATTTTCCCCCCCATTTTCCCCCATTATTTCCCCCATTTTCCCCTTTTGTTTTTTGGGCCGAATCGCGGCGTTTTTGGCGCACCTTGATGGTGGCGATGTGGAAGGGGGTGGCGATGCCGAACACGGGCATGATGACGCTCTCGTACTTCTTGTCGATGTAGATTTTCATCTCGCGCACGTGCGGCTCCTTGGGCAGCAGCGCCGCGCTCTTGTAGGAGACGTTGGATTTACGGGCCCTGGTTTGGGGCGAAAAAACCGCGATTTTGGGCAAAATATCAATTTTGGGGGGAAAAACGGGGGTTTGGGGGGAAAAATGGGGGCTTGGGAAAATGGGGTTTGGAGAATGGGGATCCTTGGGCAGCAGTGCTCCGCTCTTGTAGGACACGTTGGATTTGCGGGCCCTGAAATGGGGTAAAAAACTGCGATTTTGGGAAAAAAACCCGAGTTTGGGGGGAAAAACGGGGGTTTGGGGGGAAAAACAGGGGTTTGGGGTGAGAAAATGGGAGTTTGGGAAAGACAAACAGAGTCCTTGGGCAGCAGCGCCGCGCTCTTGTAGGACACGTTGGATTTACGGGCCCTGGTTTGGGGCGAAAAAAACCGCGATTTTGGGCAAAAAAATGGAATTTTGGGGAAAAACCTGAGTTTGGGGGGAAAACACAAGAGTTTGGGAAAATGGGGTTTGGGAGAAAGGGCTCCTTGGGCAGCAGCGCCGCGCTCTTGTAGGACACGTTCGATTTACGGGCCCTGGTTTGGGGTGAAAAACCGCGATTTTGGGCAAAAAATGGATTTTGGGGTGAAAAACGGGGGTTTGGGGGGAAAAAACGGGGGTTTGGGGTGAGAAAATGGGTTTGGGAAAGGCAAACAGGGTCCTTGGGCAGCAGCGCCGCGCTCTTGTACGACACGTTCGACTTGCGGGCCCTGGATTGGGGCGAAAAACCGCGATTTTGGGCAAAAATGGATTTTGGGGGGTAAAAATGGGGGTTTGGGGAAATGTGGATTGGGAAAAAATGAGATTTAATGGGGGAGAAAGGGATCCTTGGGCAGCAGCGCCGCGCTCTTGTAGGAGGACGTTTTCGACTTGCGGGCCCTGAAATGGGTAAAAAAACGCGATTTTGGGCAAAAAACCTGAGTTTGGGGGGAAAAACAGGGGTTTTGGGAAAGTGGGGTTTGGAGAATGGGGATCCTTGGGCAGCAGCGCCGCGCTCTTGTAGGACACGTTGGATTTACGGGCCCTGGTTTGGGGTGAAAAACCGCGATTTTGGGCAAAAAAATGGAATTTGGGGTGAAAAACAGGGGTTTGGGGAAATGTGGATTGGGAAAAATGAGATTTAATGTGGAGAATGCGGCTCCTTGGGCAGCAGCGCTGCGCTCTTGGACGACACGTTGGATTTACGGGCCCTGGTTTGGGGCGAAAAAAACGCGATTTTGGGCAAAAAATGGAATTTTGGGGGAAAAAACGGGAGTTTGGGGGGAAAAACGGGGGTTTTGGGAAAGTGGGGTTTGGAGAATGGGGATGCTTGGGCAGCAGCGCCGCGCTCTTGTAGGAAACGTTGGATTTACGGGCCCTGGTTTGGGGCGAAAAACCGCGATTTTGGGCAAAAAATGGATTTGAGGAGGGAATGGGGCAAAAATCAGAGCAGGAATTGGGGCAAGAATGGGGGGATTTGGGGCACAAACCAGGGCAGGATTTGGGGCAAAACCTGGGAGAATTGGGTCAGAAACCAAAGTCCAAATTCACAACCAAAACCAGGAACCAGGAGCAGAACCATGCACGGCTTTGGGGTGAATTCCCCCATTTTGGGGTGAATTCTCCCATTTTGGGTTGAATTTCGCCCTTTAGGTTTGAATTCTCCCATTTTTGGGCTGAATTCCCCATTTCAGGTTTGAATTTCCCCCATTTCAGGTTTGAATTTCCCCCATTTTGGACTGAATTTCCCCATTTCAGGTTCATTCCCCCCATTTTGGGCTGAATTCCCCCATTTTGGTTTGAATTCCTCCCATTTTGGTTTGAATTTCCCCATTTCAGGTTCAATCCCCCCTTTTGGTTTGAATCCCCCCATTTTTGGGTGAATTCTCCTACTTTAGGTTTGAATTTCCCCCATTTTGGGCTGAATTTCCCCCATTTCAGGTTTGAATTTCCCCCATTTCAGGTTTGAATTTCCCCATTTCAGGTTTGAATTTCCCCCATTTTAGGTTTGAATTTCCCCCATTTCAGGTTTGAATTTCCCCCATTTTGGTTTGAATTTCCCCCATTTTGGTTTGAATTTCCCCATTTCAGGTTTGAATTTCCCCCATTTTGGGCTGAATCTCCCCCATTTCAGGTTTGAATTTCCCCATTTTGGTTTGAATCCCCCATTTTTGGGTGAATTCCCCTACTTTAGGTTTGAATCTCCCCCATTTCAGGTTTGAATTTCCCCATTTCAGGTTTGAATTTCCCCCATTTTGGTTTGAATTCCCCCCCATTTCAGGTTCAATCCCCCCATTTTTTGGGTGAATTCCCTACTTTAGGTTTGAATTTCCCCCATTTTGGGTTCAATCCCCCCATTTTGGTCTGAATTTCCCCATTTTGGTCTGAATTTCCCCATTTTGGTCTGAATTTCCCCATTTTGGTCTGAATTTCCCCATTTTGGGCTGAATCCCCCCATTTCAGGTTTCAATGCCCCCATTTTGGGCTGAATTTCCCCATTTTGGTCTGAATTTCCCCATTTCAGGTTTCAATGCCCCCATTTTGGTTTGAATTTCCCCATTTCAGGTTTCAATCCCCCATTTTTGGGTGTAACTCCCTCACTTCTGTGTCTGCTGCTCTCCCCTCTGCTCGGTCAGGCGCCGCCGCGCGTCCTCGTTCAGCTGCGTGGCCAATTCCTTCTGGTGCGCGCGGCGCTTCTCCTCCGCCGTCAGCTCGTTCTGGGGGGACAGGGGGGACAACTGGGGTCACTCACGGGGCTTGGGGGGGTTGGGGGGTTTGGGGGATTTTTTTGGGATTTTTTTTGGATTTCTTGGAATTTTTTTGGATTTTTTTTGAATTTTTTTTGGATTTTTTTTGGATTTTTTTTTTATTTTTGAGGATTTTTTGGGATTTTTTTTGAATTTTCTTGGGATTTTTTGGATTTTTTTTTTGAATTTTCTTGGAATTTTTTTGGGATTTTTTTTTTGAATTTTCTTGGAATTTTTTTGGATTTTTTTTTTTGATTTTTTTGATTTTTTGGGATTTTTTTTGAATTTTTTTTTGATTTTTTGGGGGATTTCTTTTTTATTTTTTGGCGATTTTTTGGGGGGATATTTTTGGGATTTTTTTTTTTATGTATTATGATTTTTTTGGGGATTTTTTTTGATTTTTTTTTTTTTTGGATTTTTTGGGACTTTTTTGGGGACTTTGGGATTTGTTTTGGGGATTTTTTGGAATTTTTTTGGATTTTTTTTTTTTTTTTTTGGATTTTTGAGAATTTTTTTGGGATTTTTTTTGAATTTTTTTTTCTTTTTTTTTTTTTTGGATTTTTTGAGGATTTTTTTTTGAATTTTTTTTTATTTTTTTGGAATTTTTTTGGGATTTGTTTTGGGATTTTTTGGGGATATTTTGGGATTTTTTTTGGGGTCACTGGGGGGTTTGGGGAACACAACCGGGGTCACTCACGGGCACTCGGGGGGGTTGGGGATTTTGGGGGATTTTTTTTGGATTTTTTTTGAATTTTTTGGATTTTTTTGGATTTTTTTTGAATTTTCTTGGGATTTTTTTGGATTTTTTTTTTTTAATTTTCTTGGAAATTTTTTGGGATTTTTTTTGAATTTTCTTGGGATTTTTTTTTAATTTTTTTTTTTATTTTTTGGGGATTTTTTTGGGATTTTTTGGGGGGGATATTTTGGGATTTTTTTTTTTTTGTTTATTGGGATTTTTTGGGGGATTTTTTTTTTTTTATTTTTTGGGGATTTTTTTGGGGACTTTGGGATTTGTTTTGGGATTTTTTGGGATATTTTGGGATTTTTTTTGGGGTCACTGGGGGGTTTGGGGAACACAACCGGGGTCACTCACGGGCACTCGAGGGGGCTGGGGATTTTGGGGGATTTTTTTTGAATTTTTTTTGGATTTTTGAGGATTTCTTTTGAATTTTTTTTTTTTATTTTTTGGAATTTTTTTGGGATTTGTTTTGGGATTTTTTGGGATTTTTTTAAAATTTTTTTTAAATTTTTTTGGATTTTTTTTTTATTTTTTCGGAATTTTTGGGGGATTTTTTGGGGATTTTTTTTTGGGGGGGGATTTTTTTTGGGATTTTAGGGGATTTTTTTTAATTTGATTTTTTTGGGATTTTTTTTGAGATTTTTTGGGGATTTTTTGGGATTTTTTTGGGGGGGATTTTTTGGGGATTTTTTTTTTTGAATTTTTTTTTTTTATTTTTTTTTGAATTTTTATTTTTTGGGATTTGTTTTGGGATTTTTTTGGGGGATTTTTTTTTTTTTGGATTTTTTTGGAATTTTTGGGGGATTTTTTGGGATTTTTTTTTGGGATTTTTTGGGGCTGTGGTCACTCAGGGTCATTTTGGGTCATTTTAAGGCATTTTTTGGGAGATTTTTTTTTACATTTTTGGGGATTTTGGGGTTGTGGTCACTCAGGGTCATTTTAGGCCATTTTAGAGGGGTTTTTTGGGCCATTTTGGGGCTGTGGTCACTCAGGGTCATTTTTTGGCCATTTTAAGGCATTTTTGGAGGATTTTTTGGGAATTTTGGGGATTTTGGGGCTGTGGTCACTCAGTGGTCATTTTGGGTCATTTTTGGCCATTTTAAGACTTTTTTTGGGAGGATTTTTTTGACATTTTTGGGGATTTGGGGGTTGTGGTCACTCAGGGTCATTTTGGGTCATTTTAAGGCATTTTTTGGGGGGATTTTTTTGGGGATTTTTGGGGATTTTTGGGCTGTGGTCACTCAGTGGTCACTCAGTGGTCACTCATGGTCACTCAGGGTCACCCACCCGTGTCCTCTCGGTCAGGAGGGCGGCCCGGGAGCTCCTCCCCAGCAAATCCTCGGCCGCGTCCTTGTCCGGCTCCTCCTCGTCCTCGTCCTCGTTCTGGGGACAGAAACGCCAAATTTGGGAAAAAACAAAAAACCAACAAAATTCCCAAATTCCCAAATCCCAAATTCCCAAAACCCCCAAATCCCAAATCCCCACATTTCCTGAAATCTCCAAAATCTCCAAGTCCCAAAAATCCCGAACCCCAAAATCTCCGAATCCCTCAAATCCCTAAAATTCCCGAAATCCCCAAAATCCTGAAACTCCCAAAAATCTCAAAATCCCCAGAATCCCCAAAAATCTCAAAATCCCCAAATCCCCCAAAATTTCTAAATTTCCCCACATCTCCAAAATGAGCCAAAACCCCCAAAGTCTGAGGAAAATCCCCCAAAATGACCCCAAAACCCCAAATTCTGATAAATGCCCCAAAATGACCCAAAACCCCCGAAATGCCCCAAAACCCCAAATTCTGATAAATGCCCCAAAGTGACCCAAAACCCCCGAAATGCCCCAAAACCCCAAATTCTGATAAATGCCCCAAAACCCCCAAAATGCCCCAAACCCCCATATGAACCAAAAGTCCGAATTTTGGTAAACCCCCAAAAGAACCAAAATTCCCAAAATGACCGAAACTCCCCCAAAATGCCCCAAACCCCCAAAATGACTGAAAACCCCAAAATGCCTCAAATGCCCTAAAATAACCCAAACTCCCCCAAAATGCCCCAAACCCCCAAAATGACTGAAAACCCCAAAATGCCCCAAACCCCCCAAAATGACCCAAACTCCCCCAAAATTACTGAAAACCCCAAAATGCCCCAAACCCCCCAAAATGCCCCAAACTCCCCCAAAATGACTGAAAACCCCAAAATGCCGCAAACTCCCCCAAACCCCCCAAATCCCGTTAACTCCCCCAGGGCCATTTCAGGTTTTTGGTTTTTCCCAAAATCGGCGGATTTGGCCCCAAACGGGGCCCGCTCACCTTGAGGAAGATCCAACGTTCTTCACCTTCTTCTTGACCGACGTCAGCACCACGGCCGGGCCGTCCTGCACCGAGACACCCGATTGGTCAGGATCGGGACACGGAGACACGGGATTGGTCAGGGGAAGGGCACCGGGACACGGGATTGGTCAGGATGGGGACATGGAGACACGGGATTGGTCAGGATCGGGACACGGAGACACCCGATTGGCCGGGGAGAACGGCACCGGGACACGGGATTGGCCGGGAGAATGGCACCGAGACACGGGATTGGTCGGGATTGGGTCACGGGGACACCCAATTGGTTGGGAGAAGGGCACCGGGACACGGGATTGGTCGGGATTGGGACACCCAGACACGGGATTGGTCAGGACTGGGACAGGCAGACACCCGATTGGTTGGATTGGGACACTGAGACACCCGATTGGTCAGGGGAGAACGGCACCAAGACACGGGATTGGTCGGGATTGGGACACCGAGACATGGGATTGGTCAGGGGAGAATGGCACCCAGACACCGGATTGGTCAGGAGAAGGGCACCGGGACACGGGATTGGTTGGGAGAGAATGGCACCGAGACACGGGATTGGCCGGGATTGGGACAGGGAGACACCCGATTGGTCAGGGGAGAATGGCACCGGGACACCCGATTGGTCAGGGGGAGAACGGCACCGGGACACCTGATTGGTCAGGGGAAGGACACCCAGACACCCGATTGGTTGGATTGGGACTTGGGGACACCTGATTGGTCAGGACTGAGACACAGGGACACAGGATTGGTCAAGGGAAGGGCAGTGAGACACAGGATTGGTTGGGATTGGGTCACGGGGACACACGATTGGGCGGGGAGAACAGCACCGGGACACGGGATTGGTCAGGAGAAGGACACCCAGACATGGGATTGGTCAGGATTGGGACAGGCAGACACCCGATTGGTTGGATTGGGACACTGAGACACCCGATTGGTCAGGGGAAGGACACCCAGACACCTGATTGGTCGGGACTGGGACACCGAGACATGGGATTGGTCAGGGAGAATGGCACCCAGAAACGGGATTGGTCAGGGGAAGGACACGGGAACACGGGATTGGTCAGGGGAATGGCACCAAGACACCTGATTGGTTGGGATTGGGTCACCCAGACACCCAATTGGTCAAGGGAGAACGACACCGAGACACCCGATTGGTCAGGATCGGGACACGGAGACACGGGATTGGTCAGAATTGGGACACGGAGACACCCAATTGGTCGGGAGAATGGCATGGGGACACGGGATTGGCCGGGATTGGGAAAGGAGCAACAGGATTGGTCGATACATGGAAACACCGGATTGGTCAGGGGAAGGACACCGAGAAACGGGATTGGTCAGGGGAATGGCACGGGGATACGGGATTGGCCGGGATTGGGAATGGAGCGACGGGATTGGTCAGGAGAATGATACAGAGCAACGGGATTGGTCAGGATTGGGACATGGGCACGCCCTATTGGTCAGGATTGGGAAAGGAGTGATAGGATTGGTCGATACACCGACAGACAGGATTGGTCGGGATTGGGGCACCCCATTGGTCAGAAAAATGGAGAGACGGGATTGGTCGACACACAGGTCACGGGGGCACGGGATTGGTCAGCCCAGATGTGATTGGCCGGCACTGCTGTGAGGCCGGCTGTGATTGGTGGGCTCCGATGGGAGCTGCGCTGTGATTGGTGGGTTTGGATGTGTGAGCCCGGCTGTGATTGGTGAGTTTAGGCCCCGCCCACCTCGTCCACCATGACGGTGTCCCCCAGGAAGAGGGCGTAGCTGAGCCAGGCTGTGATTGGTCAGTATAACTGCGTGCCCTGCTGTGATTGGCTGGTTACGGGGTGTGTCCCCGTGCTGTGATTGGCCGGTTCAGGCCCCGCCCACCTCGTCCACCATGACGGTGTCCCCCAGGAAGAGGGCGTGTCTGAGCCCTGCTGTGATTGGTGGGTTTGTGTGTGAGCCTGGCTGTGACTGGCGGGTTTGTGGGCGTGTCCCTATACCGTGATTGGCTAATTTAAGCCCCGCCCACCTCGTCCACCATGACGGTGTCCCCCAGGAAGAGGGCGTGGCTGAGCCGGGCTGTGATTGGTCAGTGTAACTGTGAGCCCTGCTGTGATTGGAGGGTTTGTGTGTGAGCCTGGCTGTGATTGGCGGGTCTGGGGGTGTGTCCCCGCGCTGTGATTGGCCGGTTCAGGCCCCGCCCACCTCGTCCACCATGACGGTGTCCCCCAGGAAGAGGGCGTAGCTCCGCTCCTCGGGGCGCTTGGCCTCGCGGTTGGGCAGCTCCGAGAGCCCCACGTTGACGCTGAACACCATCCCTGGAATGGGGTGAAAACGGGGGGTTTTGGTTAAAATAACAAAAATGGGGAGAAATTAAAAAAAAAATTGGGGAAAAAACCCCCAGAGAAATCAGTAAAAAAACAGCATCCCTGGAACGGGGGGAAAACGCAGGGTTTTGGTTAAAATAACAAAAATGGGGAGAAACGGGGAGAAAGAGGGGAAAAATGAAAAAAAATTGGGGAAAAAACCATGGGAAATTGGTTAAATTGGGGAAAAAAACACCATCCCTGGAATGGGGTGAAAACGTGGGGATTCGGTTTAAAGCAACAAAAATGGGGAGAAATGGGGAGAAAAGTTAAAAAAAGTAAAAAATTTGGGGGAAAAAACATGGGAAAAACCAGAGAAATCAGTAAAACAACACCATCCCTGGAACGGGGTGAAAACGCGGGGTTTTGGTTAAAGTAACAAAAATGGGGAGAAATTAAAAAAAAAATTGGGGAAAAAACCCCCAGAGAAATCAGTAAAAAACAGCATCCCTGGAATGGGGCCAAAACCCAGGGATTTGGTTAAAGTAACAAAAATGGGGAGAAACGGGGAGAAAGAGGGGAAAAATGAAAAAAAAATTGGGGAAAAAACCATGGAAAAAACAGAGAAATCAGTAAAAAAACCAGCATCCCTGGAATGGGGTGAAAACGGGGGGATTTGGTTAAAGTAACAAAAATGGGGAGAAACGGGGAAAAAATTTTAAAAAAATTAAAAAATTGGGGGAAAAAACCATGGAAAAAAACAGAGAAACCAGTAAAAAACAGCATCCCTGGAATGGGGGGAAAACGTGGGGATTTGGTTAAAGTAACAAAAACCGGAGATAAGCAGGGATAAAGTAGGGGGAAGAATTTTGGGGTGGAAATCAGGGATTTTGGGGCTGACAAAGCCAAATTCTGGGGTGAAAATCGGGGATTTTGGGGTGCAAATCAGGGATTTTGGGGTGCAAATCAGGGATTTTGGGGTGAAAATCGGGGATTTTGGGGTGAAAATCGGGGATTTTGGGGCTGACAAAGCCAAGTTTTGGGGTGAAAAACGTGGATTTTGGGGTGAAAATTGGGGATTTTGGGGCTGACGAAGCCAAATTTTGGGGTGAAAATTGGGGATTTTGGGGCTGACAAAGCCAAATTTTGAGGTGAAAATCAGGTATTTTGGGGTGAAAAGCGCGGATTTTGGGGTGAAAAACGCGGATTTTGAGGCTGACAAAGCCAAATTTTGGGGTGAAACTCAGGGATTTTGGGGTGAAATCAGGAGTTTTTGGCCACAGCGCAGGTTTCCAAGGCGGGCCGGGCTCACCCCAGGGCAGGCCGGGTGCATTTTGGGGTGAAAAAGGTGAATTTGCTCATTGCTCACCTTTCCGCAGGCGCTGCTGGTTCTTGCTGTTGATGACCAGGGAGCCCTCGCGGAACTCGATGCCCATGGCGAACCTGTGACCCCAGAATGACCCCGGTGTGACCCCGGAATGACCCCGGAGTGACCCCACGGTGACCCCGGCGTGACCCCAGGGTGACCCCAGCCCCGAAATCGCCGTTTCTTACCCCAAGTTTTTGGTGATTTTGCCCAGGAGCTCCGGGCGCTGCTTCTTGACCACGTCCATGACGGCGGCGTAGACGTCGCAGAGGCGGGCGCCTGCGGGGTCAGGGGTCACACGGGGGTCACCGGGGGGTCACACAGGGGTCAGGGGTCAGGGGGTCACTCAGGGGTCAGGCAGGGTCACTCAAAGCTAAGCGGGGGACAGGCAGGGTCACGCAAGGGTCACTCAATGGTCACTCAATGGTCACTGTGGTCACTCATTGGTCACTCAATGGTCACTCATTGGTCACTCAATGGTCACTCAATGGTCACTGTGGTCACTCAGGGCCATTGTGGTCACTCAAGGGTCACCCAATGGTCACTCAAGGGTCACTCAGGGCCATTGTGGTCACTGAATGGTCACTGAATGGTCACTCAAGGGTCACTCAGAGGCCATTGTGGTCACTCACTGGTCACGCAAGGGTCACTCAATGGTCACTCAGAGGCCACTGTGGTCACTCAGGGAGCAGTGAGGGTCACTCAATGGTCACTCAATGGTCACTCATTGGTCACTCAATGGTCACTCAATGGTCACTGTGGTCACTCAGGGCCATTGTGGTCACTCAAGGGTCACCCAATGGTCACTCAAGGGTCACTCAGGGCCATTGTGGTCACTGAATGGTCACTGAATGGTCACTCAAGGGTCACTCAGGGCCATTGTGGTCACTCACTGGTCACGCAAGGGTCACTCACTGGTCACTCAGTGGTCACTCAGAGGCCACTGTGGTCACTCAGGGATCAGTGAGGGTCACTCAATGGTCACTCAGTGGTCACTCAGTGGTCACTCTATGGTCACTGTGGTCACTCAGTGGTCACTCAATGGTCACTCAGGGTCACTCAATGGTTCTTAGTGGTCACTCAGGGGCCACTGTGGTCACTCTATGGTCACTCAATGGTCATTCAATGGTCACTCAGGGGCCACTGTGGTCACTCATTGGTCACACAAGGGTCACTCAAGACCACTGTGGTCACTCATTGGTCACTCAATGGTCACTCAGGGATCAGTTAGGGTCACTCAGTGGTCACTGTGGTCACTCATTGGTCACTCAGGGGTGACTCAATGGTCACTCAATGGTTCTTAGTGGTCACTCAGTGGTCACTCAGGGTCACTGTGGTCACTCAGGAGTCACTCAGTGGTCACTCAGGGACCAGTGAGGGTCACTCAATGGTCACTCAATGGTCACTCAGGGACCAGTGAGGGTCACTCAATGGTCACTCAATGGTCACTCAGGGTCACTGTGATCACTCATTGGTCACTCTATGGTCACTCAGGGTCACTCATTGCTCACTCAATGGTTCTTAGTGGTTACTCTGGTCAGTCATTGGTCACTCAGTGGTCACTCTATGGTCACTCTATTGTCACTGTGGTCACTGTGGTCACTGAGTGGTCACTGAGTGGTCACTCAGTGGTCACTGTGGTCACTGTGGTCACTCAGTGGTCACTCAGTGGTCACTCACCGTGTCTCAGCTCCCTCAGGAGCACATCCTGGAGGGTCAATAGGAAGCTGTAGTGGTCCTGCATGTCCTGGGACGGGTCAGTCACTGGTCACTCTATGGTCACTCTATGGTCACTCTATGGTCACTCTATGGTCACTCTATGGTCACTGTGGTCACTCAGTGGTCACTCAGTGGTCACTCAGTGGTCACTCAGTGGTCACTCACCGTGCCTCAGCTCCCTCAGAAGGATCTCTTGGAGGGTCAATAGGAAGCTGTAGTGGTCCTGCATGTCCTGGGACGGGTCAGTCACTGGTCACTCTATGGTCACTCTATGGTCAGTGGTCACTCAGTGGTCACTCAGTGGTCACTCTATGGTCAGTGGTCACTCAGTGGTCACTCAGTGGTCACTCAGTGGTCACTCACCGTGCCTCAGCTCCCTCAGGAGCACATCCTGGAGGGTCAATAAGAAGCTGTAGTGGTCCTGCATGTCCTGGGACGGGTCACTCTATGGTCACTCTATGGTCACTCTATGGTCAGTGGTCACTCAGTGGTCACTCAGTGGTCACTCACCGTGTCTCAATTCCCTCAGGAGCACATCCTGAAGGGTCAATAGGAAGCTGTAGTGGTCCTGCATGTCCTGGGACGGGTCACTCTATGGTCACTCTATGGTCACTCTATGGTCAGTGGTCACTCAGTGGTCACTCAGTGGTCACTCAGTGGTCACTCACCGTGTCTCAGCTCCCTCAGAAGGATCTCCTGGAGGGTCAATAGGAAGCTGTAGTGGTCCTGCATGTCCTGGGACGGGTCACTCTATGGTCACTCTATGGTCACTCTATGGTCACTGTGGTCACTGTGGTCACTCAGTGGTCACTCAGTGGTCACTCAGTGGTCACTCACCGTGTCTCAGCTCCCTCAGGAGCACATCCTGAAGGGTCAGTAGGAAGCTGTAGTGGTCCTGCATGTCCTGGGACGGGTCCACCATGAGCGTCCGCACCAGGTTGGAGCAGTAGGACTTGTAGCGGATGCCCATGGAGCAGGTGATGGCCCCAAAGTGCATGTGGGACTTGTCGCTGTGGAAACGGGGTGAAAAACGGGGAAATTGGTAAAAATGGGGAAAAAACGGAAAAAACGGGGTCAGAAATGGTGAAAAAACGGGGGAAATTGGGTCAGAAATGGGGAAAATGGGGAGAGAAAACCTGGGGTGATGGCCCCAAAGTGCATGTGGGACTTGTCGCTGAAAAATTGGGGTGAAAAACGGGGAAATTGGTAAAAATTGGGGAAAAAACGGAAAAAACGGGGTTAGAAATGGTGAAAAAATGGGAAAAAACGGGGTCAGAAATGGTGAAAAAATGGGAAAAAACGGGGGGAGAATGGGGAAATTGGGTGGGAAATGGAGCAGGAATGGAGCAGGTGATGGCCCCAAAGTGCATGTGGGACTTGTCGCTATGGAAATGGGGTGAAAAACGGGGAAATTGGTAAAAATTGGGGAAAAAATAGGAAAAACGGGGTCAGAAATGGTGAAAAAACGGGGAAAAAGGGTCAGAAATGGGGTCAGGAATGGAGCAGGTGATGGCCCCAAAGTGCATGTGGGACTTGTCGCTATGGAAATGGGGTGAAAAACGGGGGAAATTGGTAAAAATTGGGGAAAAAGGGGGAAATTGGGAAAAAAAAGGGGGAAAATTGGGGGGAAAATGGGGAAAATCGGGTGGGAAATGGGGAAATGGGTCAGGAATGGGGTCAGGAATGGAGCAGGTGATGGCCTCAAAGTGTGTGTGGGACTTGGCACTGAAAATGGGGTGAAAAACGGGGAAATTGGTAAAAATGGGGAAAAAGGGGAAAAAATGGGGTCAGAAATGGTGAAAAAATGGGAAAAAACGGGGGGAGAATGGGGAAATTGGGTCAGGAATGGAGCAGGTGATGGCCTCAAAGTGCATGTGGGACTTGTCGCTAAAAAATTGGGGTGAAAAACGGGGAAATTGGTAAAAAATGGGGAAAAAACGGAAAAAACGGGGTTAGAAATGGTGAAAAAACAGGGAAAATTGGGTGGGAAATGGAGCAGGAATGGAGCAGGTGATGGCCCCAAAGTGCATGTGGGACTTGTCGCTATGGAAATGGGGTGAAAAACGGGGAAATTGGTAAAAATAGAGAAAAAAATAGGGAAAATTGTGAGAAATGGAAAAAAATCGGGGAAAATTGGGTGGAAAATGAGGAAATTGGGTCAGGAATGGGGTCAGGAATGGAGCAGGTGATGGCCCCAAAGTGCATGTGGGACTTGTCGCTGTGGAAATTGGGGTGAAAAACGGGGAAATTGGTAAAAATGGGGAAAAAGGGGAAAAAACGGGGTTAGAAATGGTGAAAAAATGGGAAAAAACGGGGGGAAAATGGGTCAGAAATGGGGAAAATGGGGAGAGAAAACCAGGGGTGATGGCCCCAAAGTGCATGTGGGACTTGGCACTGAAAAATTGGGGTGAAAAATGGGGAAATTGGTAAAAATGGGGAAAAAACGGGGTCAGAAATGGTGAAAAAATGGGAAAAAACGGGGGGAAAATGGGTCAGAAATGGGGAAAATGGGGAGAGAAAACCTGGGGTAATGGCCCCAAAGTGCATGTGGGACTTGTCGCTATGGAAATGGGGTGAAAAACGGGGAAATTGGTAAAAATTGGGGAAAAAAATAGGGAAATTTGGGAAAAAATGGAAAAAAAAATGGGGAAAATTGGGTGGAAAATGGGGAAAATCGGGTGGAAAATGGGGAAATTGGGTCAGGAATGGAGCAGGTGATGGCCCCAAAGTGCGTGTGGGACTTGGCACTGAAAATGGGGTGAAAAACGGGGAAATTGGTAAAAAATGGGGAAAAAACGGGGTCAGAAATGGTGAAAAAACGGGAAAAAAACGGGGGGAAAATGGGGAAAATTGGGTGGGAAATGGGTCAGGAATGGAGCAGGTGATGGCCTCAAAGTGTGTGTGGGACTTGGCACTGAAAATGGGGTGAAAAACGGGGAAATTGGTAAAAATAGTGAAAAAAAATATGGAAAATTGGGAAAAATGGAAAAAAACCGGGGAAAAATGGGTGGAAAAAGGGGAAATGGGGTCAGGAATGGAGCAGGTGATGGCCCCAAAGTGCGTGTGGGACTTGTCGCTATGGAAATGGGGTGAAAAACGGGGAAATTGGTAAAAATGGGAAAAAACGGGGTCAGAAATGGTGAAAAAACGGGGAAAAACGGGGGGGGAAAATGGGGAAATGGGGTCAGGAATGGAGCAGGTGATGGCCCCAAAGTGTGTGTGGGACTTGTCGCTGAAAAATTGGGGTGAAAAACGGGGAAATTGGTAAAAATTGGGGAAAAAACGGGGAAATTGGGAAAAAAAACGGGGAAAATTGGGTGAAAAATGGGGAAAATTGGGTGGAAAATGGAGAAAATAGGGTCAGAAATGGAGCAGGTGATGGCCTCAAAGTGTGTGTGGGACTTGTCGCTGGGAAAATGGGGTGAAAAACGGGGAAATTGGTAAAAATTGGGGAAAAAACGGGGAAATTGGGAAAAAAAACAGGGAAAATTGGGTGGAAAATGGGGGAAAATTGGGTGGAGAATGGGGAAATGGGGTCAGGAATGGGGCAGGTGATGGCCCCATAGTGCATGTGGGACTTGGCGCTGAAAATGGGGTGAAAAACGGGGAAATTGGTAAAAATAGGGGAAAAAATAGGGAAAATGGGGTCAGAAATGGTGAAAAAACGGGGAAAATTGGGTCAGAAATGGGGAAAATGGGGAGAGAAAACCTGGGGTGATGGCCCCAAAGTGCATGTGGGACTTGGCACTGAAAATGGGGTGAAAAACGGGGAAATTGGTAAAAATTGGGGAAAAAATAGGAAAAACAGGGTTAGAAATGGTGAAAAAACGGGGAAAAACAGGGGGAAAATGGGTCAGGAATGGGGTCAGGAATGGAGCAGGTGATGGCCCCAAAGTGCATGTGGGACTTGTCGCTGAAAAATTGGGGTGAAAAACGGGGAAATTGGTAAAAATTGGGGAAAAAACGGGGAAATTGGGAAAAAAAACGGGGAAAATTGGGTCAGAAATGGGGAAAATGGGGAGAGAAAGCCTGGGGTGATGGCCCCAAAGTGCATGTGGGACTTGTCGCTGGGAAATTGGGGTGAAAAAGGGGGGAAATTGGTAAAAATAGTGAAAAATACAGGGAAAATTTGGAAAAATAGAAAAAAACGGGGAAAATAGGGTGGAAAATGGGGAAAATTGGGTGGAAAATGGGAAATGGAGCAGGAATGGAGCAGGTGATGGCTCCATAGTGCATGTGGGACTTGGCACTGAGAAATTGGGGTGAAAAATGGGGAAATTGGTAAAAATTGGGGAAAAAGGGGAAAAAGCGGGGTTAGAAATGGTGAAAAAACGGGGAAAATCGGGTGGAAAATGGGGAAAATGGGGAAAATGGGGAGAGAAAACCAGGGGTGCATGTGGGACTTGTCGCTGGGAAATTGGGGTGAAAAAGGGGGAAATTGGTAAAAATTGGGGAAAAAACGGGGTCAGAAATGGTGAAAAAATGGGGAAAAATGGGGGGAAAATGGGGAAAATGGGGTCAGAAATGGAGCAGGTGATGGCCCCAAAGTGCATGTGGGACTTGGCACTGAAAATGGGGTGAAAAACGGGGGAAATTGGTAAAAATTGGGGAGAAGAGGGGATTTTTGGTGGATTTTTGGTGGATTTGAAAGCGGATTTTTGCGATTTTACATTTTGGGTTGAATTCCGGGGATTTTGGGTACCTGACGACGCTGAACTTGAGGTTGTAGTTGCCCCCATTCCAGATGATGATTATTGAATTTTTTGGGGATTTTTTGGGTAATTTTTGGCCGATTTTTAAGCGGATTTTTGCGATGTTTCACATTTTTACATTTTGGGTTAAATCCCCGGGATTTTGGTGCATTTCCCGTACCTGACGACGCTGAACTTGAGGCTGTAGTTGCCCCCACTCTAGATGATGATCTGGGGATTTTTGGGGGATTTTTTGGTGATTTTTAGGTGAATTTTTGGCCGATTTTTAAGCGGATTTCTGCCATTTTACATTTTGGGTTAAATCCACACGATTTTGGTGCATTTCCCGTACCTGACGACGCTGAATTTGAGGCTGTAGTTGCCCCCACTCTAGATGATGATCTGGGGATTTTTTGGGGATTTTTAGGTGAATTTTTGTGGATTTTTTACCCGATTTTTACCGTTTTTCAGATTTTCACATTTTGGGTCAAATTCCCGGGATTTTGGTGCATTTCCCGTACCTGATGACGCTGAATTTGAGGCTGTAGTTGCCCCCACTCTGGATGATGATTATTGAATTTTTTGGGGATTTTTAGGTGAACTTTTTGTGGATTTTTTACCCGATTTTTGCGATTTTTCAGATTTTCACATTTTGGGTTAAATTCCGGGGATTTTGGGTACCTGACGACGCTGAATTTGAGGTTGTAGTTGCCCCCGCTCTGGATGATGATCTGGGGATTTCTGGGGGATTTTTTGGTGATTTTTTGGGTAATTTTTGGCCGATTTTTAAGGGGATTTTTGCCATTTCACATTTTGGGTTAAATTCACACGATTTTGGGTACCTGACGACGCTGAATTTGAGGCTGTAGTTGCCTCCATTCCAGATGATGATTATTGAATTTTTTGGTGATTTTTTGGGTAATTTTTGGCCGATTTTTAAGGGGATTTTTGCCATTTCACATTTTGGGTTAAATTCACACGATTTTGGGTACCTGACGACGCTGAACTTGAGGCTGTAGTTGCCCCCACTCTGGATGATGATCTGGGGATTTTTTGGTGATTTTTAGGTGAATTTTTGGCCGATTTTTAAGCGGATTTTTACCATTTTTCAGATTTTCACATTTTGGGTTAAATCCCCGCGATTTTGGGTACCTGACGACGCTGAATTTGAGGTTGTAGTTGCCCCCGCTCTGGATGATGGGAGGGTAGCACATCTCCACGGCCGAGGGGTCGGCCCCAGCCAGGAATTTCTTCTCCTCGATGGCTTTTTCCACCGCCTCGGCCAATTTGCTGTGCCGCACTTTCTGCAATTGGGTGACGTCATCGTGACGTCATCATGACATCATCATGACATCACAGTGACGTCACCACGACGACCCCACAGCCCCAGCCCCCATTAGTGGGGATTTGGCCCCAAAACGGGCACAGAATTCACCCCAGAACTTTTTGGGGGGGTTTGGGGCCAAAACCGCCGGGATCGGCCCCAAAATTCCCGTTTTTGGTTGACCCCAAAACTGCCAAGTTTTGGGTCAGAATCAGCTGAAAATCGACAATTTTGGAGTAAAAGGCCTCGGTTTGTGCCACGTTGGGTGAGGTGGTCGAACTGCAGCTCAAAATTCACATTTTTGGGTCAACCTGGCCTCAGAATTTCCAATTTTGGGTCTGACCTGGCCTCAAAACGCCCGGGTTGGGTCCAAACTCCCCTTTTTGGTCCTTTTGGGTCCAAACTCCCCTTTTTGGTCCAATCTGACCCCAAAATTCCCATTTTTGGTCCATCCTGACCTCAAAACTCCAAGTTTTGGTCCAAACCTGACCTCAAACCTCCCATTTTTGGTCCAAACCTCCCAGTTTTGGTCCATCCTGACCTCAAAATTCCAATTTTTGGTCCCACCTCCCATTTTTGGTCCAAATCTCCCATTTCTGGTCCATCCTGACCTCAAATCTCCCATTTTTGTTCCATCCTCATCTCAAACCACCCATTTTTGGTCCCACCTCCCATTTTTGGTCCATTCTGATCTCAAACCTCCCATTTTTTGGTCCATTCTGATCTCAAACCTCCCATTTTTGGTCCAACCTGACCTCAAAACTCCAAGTTTTGGTCCATTCTGACCTCAAAATTCCAATTTTGATCCAAACTTCCCATTTTTGGTCCATCCTGATCTCAGAATTTCAATTTTTGGGAGTCCAACCTGACCTCAAAACTCCCATTTTTGGTCCAAACCTCCCATTTCTGGTCCATCCTGACCTCAAAATTCCAATTTTGGTCCCACCTCCCATTTTTGGTCCAAACCTCCCATTTTTGGTCCCACCTCCCATTTTTGGTCCATTCTGATTTCAGAAATTCAATTTTTGGGAGTCCAACCTGACCTCAAAATTCCCATTTCTGGTCCCACCTCCCATTTTTGGTCCATCCTGACCTCAAGATTTCCATTTTTGGTCCATTCTGATCTCAAAACTCCAAGTTTTGGGAGTCCCACCTGACCTCAAAATTCCAATTTTTGGTCCCACCTTTCATTTCTGGTCCATCCTGACCTCAAATCTCCCATTTTTGGTCGATCCACATCTCAAACCACCCATTTTTGGTCAAACCTCCCATTTCTGGTCCCACCTCCCATTTTTGGTCCGTTCTGATCTCAAACCCTCCCCATTTTTGGTCCAACCTGACCTCAAACCTCCCATTTTTGGTCCAACCTGACCTCAAAATTCCAATTTTTGGTCCCACCTCCCATTTTTGGTCCCACCTCCCATTTATGGTCAAAACCTCCCATTTTTGGTGCATTCTGACCTCAAAATTCCAATTTTTGGTCCCACCTCCATTTTTGGTCCATTCTGATCTCAGAAATTCAATTTTTGGGAGTCCAACCTGACCTCAAAATTCCCATTTCTGGTCCCCACCCCTCCCATTCTTGGTCCCACCCCCATTCCTGCCCCGCCCCTTTTGCTGTCCCCGCCCCTCTGTCGCTGTCCCCGCCCCTTTAGTGGGCGTGTCCCGGCCGGACCTCGTCGGCGTCCACGATCTCCATCACGCGCTCCTTGAAGAATTTGGTGAAGAGCTCGGAGGTGATGGCGGCCGCCTTGCGCATCAGCGCCAGCTCCTGCTCCTCCTTGGCCGCCATGGCCAGCGCCACCGCCGCGCTCACGTCCACCTGGAGGGGGCGGGGTTAATAGGGGGCGGGGTCAGAGTGCTGGGCGGGGTTACAGCGCTGGGCGGGGTCAGAGCCGGGAATGAACCAATCCCAGCCCAGCTCCTGCTCCTCCTTGGCCGCCATGGCCAGCGCCACCGCAGCGCTCACGTCCACCTAAAGGGGCGGGGCCAATGGGGGGCGGGGTTAATGGGGTGGGCGGGGTCAGGAACGGGAATGAACCAATCCCCAGCCCAGCTCCTGCTCCTCCTTGGCCGCCATGGCCAGCGCCACCGCCGCGCTCACGTCCACCTGGAAGGGGCGGGGTTAATGTGGTGGGCGGGGTCAATGGGGTGGGCGGGGTCAGAGCTGGGAATGAAACCAATCCCAGCCCAGCTCTGCTCCTCCTTGGCCGCCATGGCCAGCGCCACCGCCGCGCTCACGTCCACCTAAAGGGGGCGGAGTCACAGGGTGGGCGGGGTTAATGGGGTGGGCGGGGTCAGACCGGGAATGAACCAATCCCAGCCCAGCTCCTGCTCCTCCTTGGCCGCCATGGCCAGCGCCACCGCCGCGCTCACGTCCACCTGAAAGGGGGCGGAGTCACAGGGGTGGGCGGGGTTAGAGCACTGGGTGGGGCCAAAACGGGAATGAACCAATCCCAGCCCAGCTCCTGCTCCTCCTTGGCCGCCATGGCCAGCGCCACCGCCGCGCTCACGTCCACCTGAAGGGGCGGGGCCAAAGGGGGGCGGGGTCAGAGAGAGTGGGCGGGGTTATAGCGCTGGGCGGGGTCAGGAACGGGAATGAACCGACCCCAGCCCAGCTCCTGCTCCTCCTTGGCCGCCATGGCCAGCGCCACCGCCGCGCTCACGTCCACCTGAAAGGGGGCGGAGCCAATGGGTGGGCGGGGTTAGAGCGGTGGGCGGGGCCAAAACCGGGAATGAACCGACCCCAGCCCAGCTCCTGCTCCTCCTTGGCCGCCATGGCCAGCGCCACCGCCGCGCTCACGTCCACCTGGAAGGGGCGGGGTTAAAGGGGTGGGCGGGGTTACAGCGCTGGGCGGGGGCAATGGGGTGGGCGGGGTCAGGAATGGGAAATGAACCAACCCCAACCCAACTTTGGCCAATCCGACCCAACTCTGACTCTTCCAAATAAGCTCTGACCGAAGTTTGGGTCTCCCGACCCAACTTGGATTCATTGAACCCAATTTTCATGAATTTAACCCAACTTTGACCCTTCCAACTCAACTCCAACCCAACTCGAAATCTTCAACCCAACTTCGACTCTTCAAACCCAACTCAAACCCAACTCTGACCCTTCCAACCCAACTCAACCCAACTTTGACCCTTCCAAACCAACTGTGACTCTTCAAACTCAACTTTCATCCATTAAACCCAACTTTGACTCATCCAACCCAATTTTGACTCTTCAAACTCAACTCCAACTCTTCAAACCCAACTCAAACCCAACTTTGACTCTTCCAAACCCAACTCAAACCCAACTTTGACTCTTCCAACCCAACTTTGACTCTTTAAACCCAACTCTGACCCTTCCAAACCCAACTCAAACCCAACTTTGACTCTTCCAACTCAACTTTCATCCATTAAACCCAACTTTGACTCTTCCAACCCAACTGTGACTCTTCAAACTCAACTTTGACTCATCCAACCCAACACGAACTCTTTAAACCCAACTTTGACCCTTCCAACCCAACTCAAACCCAACTTTGACTCATCCAACTCAACTTTGACTCATCCAACCCACACGAACTCTTCAAACCCAACCTCAACCCAACTTTGACTCTTTAAACCCAACTCTGACCCATCCAACCCAACGGAACTCTTCAAACCCAACGTTGACTCTTCAAACTCAACTCTGACCCTTCAAACCCAACTCTGACTCTTCCAAACCCAACGTCAACCCAACTCTGACCCTTCCAACCCAACTCGGCCTCTGCCAACCCAACTCCGCCCCACCCCCTTTCCCAGGCCCCGCCCCCTGTCCCAGGCCCCGCCCCCGGACCTTCTCGAAGCCCTCCTTGCTGAGGGCGTCGTTCCAGCTCTTCATGAACTCTCCGGGAATTTGTCCTTGGCGAAGACCCCGAGGCGCCGCCCGCCCCGGCTGCCCCGCAGCGCTTCCAGAAGCTTCTCAAAGTTGGCCTTGTTGCTCTCGTTCTGAAAGGGGGCGGGGCCAGATCAGGGGGGTGTGGCCATGGGAGGGTGGGGGCGTGGCCAGGCCCAGCCCCAGGGATGGGGGCGGAAAGGGACAAGAGAGGCCCCAAAAGGGCCCAGAGTGACCCAAGAGTGACCACCAGGACCCCAGAGTGACCCAAAAGGGGGCCCAGAGTGACCAAAATGGGGCCCAGAGTGACCCCAGAGTGACCCCAAAGTGACCCAAAGGGGGCCCAAAGTGACCCAAATGGGCCCAAAGTGACCCAAATGGGCCCAGAGTGACCCAAATGGGCCCAGAGTGACCCAAAAGGGGCCCAGAGTGACCCAAAAGTGACCACCAGGACCCCAACATGACCCCAAAGTGACCCAAAAGGGCCCAGAGTGACCCAAAAGGGCCCAAAGTGACCCAAAGGGGGCCCAGAGTGACCCAAAAGTGACCACCAGGAGCCCAAAGTGACCCAAAAGTGACCACCAGGACCCCAAAGTGACCCAAAAGGGCCCAGAGTGACCCAAAAGTGACCACCAGGACCCCAACATGACCCCAAAGTGACCCAAAAGGGCCCAGAGTGACCCAAAAGGGGCCCAGAGTGACCCAAAAGGGCCCAAAGTGACCCAAAAGGGGCCCAGAGTGACCCAACAGTGACCACCAGGACCCCAAAATGACCCAGAGTGACCCCCAGGACTCCTAAGTGGCCACCAGGACTCCAAAGTGACCACCAGGACCTCAGAGTGACCCCCAGGACATCATAAGGACCATAAAATGACCCAAAGTGACCCAAAATGACCCAAACACCCCCAGGGGTCCCCACCTTCTCGCGGACGAGCAGGATGACCCCAAAGTGACCCAAAAATGACCCAAAATAGCCCCAAAATGGCCCAAGGGTCCCCACCTTTTCCCGGACGAGCAGCGTGACCCCAAAATGACCCAAAATTGACCCAAAATGACTGAAAATAGCCCCAAACACCCCCAAGGGATTCCCACCTTCTCCCGCACGAGCAGCGTGACCCCAAAGTGACCCAAAGTGACCCAAAAGGGCCCAAAATGACCCAAAATGACCCAAGGGGTCCCCACCTTTTTGCGCACGAGCAGCGTGACCCAAAACGACCCAAAATAGCCCCAAAATGGCCCAAGGGATCCCCACCTTCTCCCGGACGAGCAGCGTGACCCCAAAACGACCCAAAATGACCGAAAATAGCCCCAAAACGACCCAAAATGACCCAAGGGATCCCCACCTTTTCCCGCACGAGCAGCGTGACCCCAAAGTGACCCAAAGTGACCCAAAATAGCCCCAAAAACCCCCAAACACCCCCAGGGGTCCCCCACCATTTCCCGCATGAGCAGGGTGACCCCAAAGTGACCCAAAGTGACCCAAAAAGGGCCCAAAATGACCCAAAATGGCCCAAGGGATCCCCACCTTCTCCCGCACGAGCAGCGTGACCCCAAAGTGACCCAAAATGACCGAAAATAGCCCCAAACACCCCCAGGGTCCCCACCTTTTCCCGGACAAGCAGGGTGACGGCCGGGAGCCCATTGGAGGCGCCCTCGCCGCCCTTGCCCTGCGCCACCTGCTTGAGGAACTCGACCTTCTTGCGGCTGGCCAGGAACAGGGCGCGCTCCTCGCAGAACAGCATCACCGTGTCGGTGAGCTCGTAGCCAAACAGCAGGTCTGGGGGGGGAAACAGCGTGGGAAGGTTAAAAACAGCAAAAAACCCCATCAAAAACGGACCAGGAACCCCAAAACCCAAAAAACCCCATCAAAAACGGACCAGGAACCCCAAAACCCCAAAAAAACCCCATCAAAAACGGACCAGGAACAAGAGAAACCAGCAGGGACCAGAGCAGCGTCACCGTGTCGGTGAGCTCGTAGCCAAACAGCCAGGTCTGGGGGGGAACAGCACGGAAAGGGTTAAAAACAGCAAAAAAACCAAAAAAAAACCAAAAAAAACCAAAAAACCCCATCAAAAATGGACCAGGAACCCAAAAATGGACCCAGGAACCCCAAAAATGGACCCAGGAACAGAAACCAGCAGGGACCAGAGCAGCATCACCGTGTCGGTGAGCTCGTAGCCAAACAGCCAGGTCTGGGGGGGAAACAGCGTGGGAAGGGTTAAAAACAGCAAAAAAAACAAAAAAAAACCCATCAAAAACGGACCAGCAACCCCAAAACCCCAAAAAACCCCATCAATAATGGACCAGGAACCCCAAAACCCCAAAAACCCCATCAAAAACGGACCAGGAACCCCAAAACCCCAAGAAACCCCATCAAAAACGGACCAGAAACAACAGAAACCAGCAGGGACCAGAACAGCATCACCGTGTCGGTGAGCTCAGAGCCAAACTGCCAGGGATGGGGGGGAAACACCACAGAAATGGTTAAAAAACCCAAAAAACCCACAAAAACCCAAAAAAAACCCCGAAAAAAACCCATCAAAAACGGACCAGGAACCCCAAAAATGACCCAGGAACAACAGAAACCAGCAGGGACCAGAGCAGCATCACCGTGTCGGTGAGCTCAGAGCCAAACAGCCAGGTCTGGGGGGGGAAACAGCGTGGGAAGGGTAAAAACAGCAAAAAAAAACAACAAAAAACCCAAAAAACCCCAAAAAAAACCCATCAAAAATGGACCAGGAACCCCAAAACCCCAAAAAAACCCCACAAAAATTGACCCAAGAACCTCAAAAATGGACCCAGGAACCCCAAAATCCACCAGGGACCAGAGCAGCGTCACCGTGTCGGTGAGCTCAGAGCCAAACTGCCAGGGATGGGGAGAAAAACACCACAGAAATGGTTAAAAACAAAAAAAACCACAAAAACCCAAAAAAAAACCCGAAAAAAACCCCATCAAAAACTGACCAGGAACCCCAAAAACGGACCAGGAACCCCAAAAATGGACCCAGAAACAACAGAAACCAGCAGGGACCAGAGCAGCGTCACCGTGTCAGTGAGCTCAGAGCCAAAGAGCCAGGGATGGGGGGGGAACAGGGTGGGAAGGGTTAAAAACAGCACAGAAAGGGTTAAAAACAGCAAAAAACCCCACAAAAATGGTCTCAGGAACCCCAAAAATACAAAGGCATTGAAAACCAAAAAAAAAACCCACAAAAATTGGCCCAGGAAGCCCAAAAATGGACCCAGGAAACCCAAAATTATGGAGACCCTGAAACCCAAAAAAAAACCCAAAAAAATCCGAACAAAAATCCCCAAAAATGGACCCAGGAACCCCAAAATTATAAAGACACCGAAAACCCAAAAAAACCCCAAAAAAATCCGACCAAAAATCCCCAAAAAATGACCCAAGAACCCCAAAAACCAGAGCAGCGCCACGGTGTCGGTGAGCTCGGAGCCAAAGAGCCAGGGATGGGAAAAACAGCCCAAAAATGGACAGAAACAGCCAAAAATGGACAGAAACACCCAAAAATGGACAGAAACAGCCCAAAAATGGACAGAAAACACCCAAAAATGGACAGAAACAGCCCAAAAATGGACAGAAACAGCCCAAAAATGGACCCAGGAACCCCAAAAATGGACAGAAACTGCCCAGAAATGGACAGAAACAGCCCAAAATGGACAGAAACAGCCCAAAAATGGACAGAAACAGCCCAAAATGGACAGAAACACCCAAAATGGACAGAAACAGCCCAAAAATGGACAGAAACACCCAAAAATGGTGAGGAACACCCCAAAAATGGACAGAAACAGCCCAAAAATGGACAGAAACAGCCCAAAAATGGACAGAAACAGCCCAAAATGGACAGAAACAGCCCAAAAATGGACAGAAACAGCCCAAAATGGACAGAAACACCCAAAAATGGACAGAAACAGCCCAAAAATGGACAGAAACAGCCCAAAAATGGTGAGGAACACCCCAAAAATGGACAGAAACAGCCCAAAAATGGACAGAAACAGCCCAAAAATGGACAGAAACAGCCCAAAATGGACAGAAACAGCCCAAAAATGGACAGAAACAGCCCAAAAATGGACAGAAACACCCCAAAAATGGACAGAAACAGCCCAGAAATGGACAGAAAACACCCCAAAAATGGACAGAAACAGCCCAAAATGGACAGAAACACCCCAAAAATGGACCCAGGAAACCCAAAAATAGAGAAACACCAAAAACCCAAAAAAAACCCCAGAAAAATGGACCCAAGAACCCAAAAACCGACAGGGAGACCCCGCAAACCCACCCAGGAACCCCAAAAATGGACAGAAACACCCCAAAAATGGACCCAGGAACCCCAAAAATAGAGAAACACCGAAAACCCAAAAACAACCCCACAAACCCACCCAGGAACCCCAAAAATGGACAGAAACACCCCAAAAATGGACACAGGAACCCCAAAAATAGAGAAACACCGAAAACCCCCCAAAAAAACCGACAAACCACCCAGGAACCCCAAAAAAGGACAGAAACACCCCAAAAATGGGCAGGGAAAAAACCAAAAAAGGGAGCAGGGACACTCAGAAATGGAGAAAAACCCCAAAAATGGAGAAAAACCCCAAAAATGGAGAAAAACCCCAAAAATGGGACAAAAACCCAAAAAATGGAGAAAAACCCCAAAAATGGAGCTGGGACACCCTAAAAGGAGCAGGGAAAGCCCCAAAAATGAGAGAATTCACCCAAAAATGAGGGAATTCACCCAAAATGAGAGAATTCACCCAAAAGGAGGGGATTGACCCAAAAATGAGAGAATTCACCCAAAATGAGAGAATTCACCAAAAATGAGAGAATTCACCCAAAAAATGAGAGAATTCACCCAAAATGAGGGAATTCACCTAAAAATGAGAGAATTCACCCAAAAGGAGAGAATTCACCCAAAATGAGGGAATTCACCCAAAAATGAGAGAATTCACCCAAAAATGAGAGGAATTCACCCAAAATGAGAGAATTCACCAAAAATGAGAGAATTCACCTAAAAATGAGAGAATTCACCCAAAAATGAGAGAATTCACCTAAAAATGAGAGAATTCACCCAAAAATGAGAGAATTCACCCAAAATGAGAGAATTCACCTAAAATGAGAGAATTCACCCAAAATGAGAGAATTCACCCAAAAATGAGAGAATTCACCCAAAAATGAGAGAATTCACCCAAAATGAGAGAATTCACCCAAAATGAGGGAATTCACCCAAAAATGAGAGAATTCACCCAAAAGGAGAGAATTCACCCAAAATGAGGGAATTCACCCAAAAATGAGAGAATTCACCCAAAATGAGAGAATTCACCCAAAATGAGAGAATTCACCTAAAATGAGAGAATTCACCTAAAATGAGAGAATTCACCCAAAATGAGAGAATTCACCCAAAAATGAGAGAATTCACCCAAAATGAGGGAATTCACCCAAAAATGGGAGAATTCACCCAAAAATGGGAGAATTCACCCAAAATGAGAGAATTCACCCAAAATGAGAGAATTCACCCAAAATGAGGGAATTCACCCAAAAATGGGAGAATTCACCCAAAAATGGGAGAATTCACCCAAAATGAGAGAATTCACCCAAAATGAGAGAATTCACCCAAAATGAGAGAATTCACCCAAAATGAGAGAATTCACCTAAAATGAGAGAATTCACCCAAAATGAGAGAATTCACCCAAAATGAGAGAATTCACCCAAAAATGAGGGAATTCACCCAAAAAATGAGGGAATTCACCCAAAATGAGAGAATTCACCCAAAATGAGAGAATTCACCCAAAATGAGAGAATTCACCTAAAAATGAGAGAATTTACCCAAAAATGAGAGAATTCACCTAAAATGAGAGAATTCACCCAAAAGGAGAGAATTCACCTAAAATGGGAGAATTCACCCAAATGAGAGAATTCACCCAAAAATGAGAGAATTCACCCCAAAATGAGAGAATTCACCCAAAATGAGAGAATTCACCCAAAAATGAGGGAATTCACCCAAAATGAGAGAATTCACCCAAAAATGAGAGAATTCACCTAAAAATGAGAGAATTCACCCAAAATGAGAGAATTCACCCAAAATGAGGGAATTCAACCAAAATGAGGGGAATGACCCAAAAATGAGAGAATTCACCCAAAATGAGAGAATTCACCCAAAATGAGAGAATTCACCCAAAAAGGAGAGAATTCACCCAAAATGAGAGAATTCACCCAAAATGAGGGGAATGACCCAAAAATGAGAGAATTCACCCAAAAAGGAGAGAATTCACCCAAAAATGAGAGAATTCACCCAAAAAGGAGAGAATTCACCTAAAATGAGAGAATTCACCCAAAATGAGAGAATTCACCTAAAATGGGAGAATTCACCCAAAATGAGAGAATTCACCCAAAAATGAGAGAATTCACCTAAAATGAGAGAATTCACCCAAAATGAGAGAATTCACCCAAAAATGAGGGAATTCACCCAAAATGAGAGAATTCACCCAAAATGAGAGAATTCACCCAAATGAGAGAATTCACCCAAAAATGAGGGGATTGACCCAAAATGAGGGGATTGACCCAAAAATGAAGGAATTCAGCTAAAAAATGAGGGGATTGACCCCAAAAATGAGGGGATTGACCCAAAATGAGGGGATTGACCCCAAAAATGAGGGGATTTACCCAAAAATGAGGGAATTCACCCAAATATGACAGAGATTTGGGGATTTTTTTAGGGGATTTTCCCTCAGGGATTTTTAAATTTTTTTTTTCTGGGGATTTTGGGATTTTTTAGGGGATTTTCCCTCAGGGATTTTGGGGTTTTTTTCCTGGGGATTTTGGGATTTTTTAGGGGATTTTCCCTCAGGGATTTTGTTCTTTTTTCTGGAGATTTTGGGATTTTTTAGGGGATTTTCCCTCAGGGATTTTTAAATTTTTTTCTGGGGATTTTGGGATTTTTTAGGGGATTTTCCCTCAGGGATTTTTAAATTTTTTTTTTTCTGGGGATTTTGGGATTTTTTTAGGGGATTTTCCCTCAGGGATTTTGGATTTTTTTTTCCTGGGGATTTTGGGATTTCCCGTCAAAGTTTTTGGGATTCTTTTCAGGGATTTCCCCTCAGAAATTTTGGGAATTTTTTGGATTTCTCCTCAGAAATTTTGGGATTTTTTGGGGATTTTTTTTGTTTTCAGGGAATTTGGTATTTTGGGATTTTCCCCTTTGATTTTGGGACCCCCTCCCCTCACAGATTTTGGAATTTCCCTTGGAGATCTTGGGATTTTTCTCAGGGAATTTTTGGGGATTTTTGGGTTTTCCCCTCAGGGATTTTGGGACTTTCTGGGCATTTTCCCCTCCGAGATTTTTTGGTGATTTTGGGATTTTTTTGGGGAGGATTTTTCCCTCAGGAATTTTGTTATTTTTTATGGGGATTTTTCCCTCAGGGAAATTGGGATTTTCCCCAGAGATTTTGGGATTGTTTCCAGGGCTTTGGGGATTTTTCTCAGGTAGTTTTGGATTTTTTTTACGGATTTTTCCAAGAAATTTGATATTTTGGGATTTCTCCTGAGGGATTTTGGGGATTTTTCTCAGAGATTTGGGGATTTTTCTCAGGTATTTTTGGATTTTTTTTTAGGGATTTTTCTTGGGAAATTGATATCTGAGGATTTTTCCCAGAGATTTTGGGATTTTTCTCAGGGATTTTTGGATTTTTTTTAAGGATTTTTCTCAGGAAATTTGATATTTTGGGATTTTTCCCAGAGATTTTGGGATTTTTCTCAGGAAATTTGATATTTTGGGATTTCTCCTGAGGGATTTTGGGATTTCTCCTGAGGGATTTTAGGATTTTTTTCAGGGGATTTTGGGATTTTTCCCAGAGATTTTGGGATTTCTCCTGAGGAATTTTGAGATTTTTCCCAGAGATTTTGGGATTTTTCTCAGGGATTTTTGGATTTTTTTTTTAGGTATTTTTCTCAGGAAATTTGATATTTTGGGACTTCTCCTGAGGGATTTTGGGGATTTTTCTCAGGTATTTTTGAATTTTTCTCAGGGAATTTTGAATTTTTCTCAGGGATTTTGGGATTTCTCCTGAGAATTTGAGATTTTTCCCAGAGATTTGGGGATTTTTCTCAGGGATTTTTGGATTGTTTTTTTAGGGATTTTTCTCAGGAAATTCGATATTTTGGGATTTCTCCTGAGGGATTTTTGGGATTTTTCTCAGGGATTTTTGGGGATTTTTCTCAGGGAATTTGGTATTTTGTTATTTTTCCCAGAGATTTTGGGATTCCTCCTGAGGGATTTTGGGATTTTTCCCAGAGATTTTGGGATTTTTTTCTCGGGGATTTTTGGATTTTTTTTTAAGGATTTTTGTCAGAAAATTTGATATTTTGGGATTTTTTCCCAGAGATTTTTGGATTTTTTCTCAGGTATTTTGGGATTTCTCCTGAGGGATTTTGGGATTTTTCCCAGAGATTTTGGGATTTTTCTCAGGAAATTTGATATTTTGGTATTTCTCCTGAGGGATTTTGGGGATTTTTCTCAGGGATTTTGGGGATTTTTCGGGTTTTTCTCAGGGATTTTTCCCAGAGATTTTGGGATTTTTCTCAGGAAATTTGATATTTTGGGATTTCTCCTGAGGGATTTTGGGGATTTTTTCTCAGGGATTCTGAGGATTTTTCGGGTTTTTCTCAGGGATTTTTCCCAGAGATTTTTTCTCAGGAATTTTTGAATTTTTTTTAGGGATTTTGGGATTTTTTCTCAGGTATTTTTGAATTTTTCTCAGAGATTTTGGGATTTTTTCTCAGGGATTTTTCTCAGGTATTTTGGGATTTCTCCTGAGGGATTTTGGGATTTTTCCCAGAGATTTTGGGATTTTTCTCACTGATTTCAGTATTTTGTTCTTTTCCCCAGGGATTTTGCTGTTTTTGGTGATTTTCCCCCCTTTACCTGCAGCGCTGTGGATTTGGCGTAGACGATCTCCTCGTCCACCCCCACGGCCACCACGATGGCGTCGACGCCGCCCAACTCATCCTCCCCTTTCTGGGGGAAACAAGGGGTTAAAAATACCCCAAAATCCCCCAAATTCACCCCAAATTCACCTCCCCGAACTCATCCTCCCCTTTCTGAGGGAGAAAAGGGTTAAAAATACCCCAAAAATCACCCAAATTCACCCCAAATTCACCCAAAATAAACCCCCGAACTCATCCTCCCCTTTCTGGGGGAAAAAAGGGTTAAAAATACCCCAAAATCCCCCAAATTCACCCCAAAATAAACCCCGACTCATCCTCCCCTTTCTGAGGGAAACAAGGGGTTAAAAATACCCCAAAATCACCCAAATTCACCCCAAATTCACCTCCCCAAACTCATCCTCCCCCCTTTCTGGGGAAAAAAGGGTTAAAAATAACCCAAAATCACCCAAATTCACCCCAATTCACCCTAAATTAAACCCCAAACTCATCCTCCCCTTTCTGGGGGAAACAAGGGTTAAAAAATACCCAAAATCCCCCAAATTCACCCTAAAATAAACCCCAAACTCATCCTCCCCTTTCTGAGGGAGAAAAGGGGTTAAAAATACCCCAAAATCCCCCAAATTCACCCCAAATTCACCCTAAAAATAAACCCCAAACTCATCCTCCCCTTTCTGGGGAGAAAAGGGGTTAAAAACACCCAAAATCCCCCAAATTCACCCAAAATAAACCCCGAACTCATCCTCCCCTTTGTGAGAGAGAAAAGGGTTAAAAATACCCCAAAATCCCCCAAATTCACCCCAAATTCACCCCAAAATAAACCCCCGAACTCATCCTCCCCTTTCTGAGGAGAAAAGGGGTTAAAAATACCCCAAAATCACCCAAATTCACCCTAAATTAAACCCCGAACTCATCCTCCCCTTTCTGAGGGAAACAAGGGGTTAAAAATACCCCAAAATCACCCAAATTCACCCCAAATTCACCTCCCCGAACTCATCCTCCCCTTTCTGAGGGAAACAAGGGGTTAAAAACACCCAAAATCACCCAAATTCACCCCAAAATAACCCCCGAACTCATCCTCCCCTTTCTGAGGGAAACAAGGGGTTAAAAACACCCAAAATCACCCAAATTCACCCCAAAATAAACCCCGAACTCATCCTCCCCTTTCTGAGGAGAAAAGGGGTTAAAAACACCCAAAATCACCCAAATTCACCCCAATTTCAACCAACATCCCCCCAGATTTACTTTGGGCCCTCCAAATTTACCTCAAACCTCCAAAATGTACTCAAAGCACCCCAAATTTACCTCATAACCCCCAAATTTACCTCAAACCCCACAATTTTACCTCATAACCCCCAAATTTACCTCAAACCCCCCAAATTTACCTCAGACCCCCAAATTTACCTCAGACCCCACAATTTTACCTCAAACCTCCCAAATTCACCTCAGACCCCACAATTTTACCTCAAACCTCCCAAATTCACCTCAAAACCCCTAAATTTGCTGCAAAACCTCCCATATTTACCTCAAATCCTCCCAAATTCACCTCAGACTCCACTGATTTACCTCAAAAGCCCCAAATTTACCTCAAACCCACGGAATTCACTTCAAATTTACCTCAAATCTTCAAAATTTACCTCACACTCCCTAAATTCAGCTCAGCCCTCCCAAATTTACCTCAAATCCCTCACATTTACTTTAAACCCCAAAAATTCACCTCAGCTCCTCCAAATTTACCTCAAACCACCCAAATTTACCTCAGACCCCACAAATTTACGTTAAAGCCCCCTAAGTTCACACTCAAACCCCCAAATTCAATCCAAATCCCTAAAATTCACCTCAGA